TCTCTAGAAAAAAAATTATTTTATTCTTCTATATTTTTCTTATTACAATACTAGAATTACATGAAAATATATAGGCTAAAGACTGAATATTCTCAGCCTTAAAACCTAAGATTTTCATGCATTAAAATAGCTAATCGAAGGAGTAATTTACTTTCTACACATAATAGAAAAATATCTAATGGATTTGACATAATTACCTACATCACTTCTTATTCTAAGAATAAGAGACTTAACTAAAATAGATAAAGTCAACTAATCAAGTAATAATGAAGATTAAATTTTCACATTTCCCTTCAAGCTAGGTAGTTGATGTCAATCATGCTCGACTTGAACTTTAGATTCTTGAAGTTATTTCGAAAGTGAGCTTTAGTGAGTATGTTTTTAGTTTGGAGGCATGTGAGAGTATAAACTAATATAACAACTCCTTCCTCTACCTTTTATTTGATGAAATGACGATCAATCTTCAGATGTTTAGTCCTATCATGATGAACATGATTCTTTGTTATACTTATGGCAGCTTTGTTGTTGCAGAATATCTTCATAGATTCTTTTGTAGAGACCTTTAGCTCTTTTAATAACCTTTTCAACCAAATTCTCTCATATATGCCATAAAACATAGCTTCAAACTTAGCTCCGCACTATTTTTAGCCACCATAGATTGCTTTTTGCTTCGTCAAGGAACCAAATTTCCTCACACATAAGTATAATAACAAGTAGTTAATCTTGGATCAGTATCATATCTAGCCTAATCAGTATCAATGTAAGTTTTAACATTTCGGTGTAATATCTTTTTAAAAAATAACCCTTTATCAGAACTCTTTTTTAGGTATTATAAGATTTGATACACAGCATTTAAGTGTTTCTCAGATAGATTGTTCATGAATCTGCTTACTATGCTAACTGAAAAATCGATATCTGATCTTGTATGAAATAGGTAGATGAGTTTTCTAACAAGTCTTTGATATTTGCCCTCATCTGTTAGTTCCTTCCTATATTCCTATTTTATTCATTGTATTCATAAAGGTGTAAGCATATTTGCATTTAAGCATTTCAGTTTCCTTTAGGAATTCTAGGACATAGTTATGCTATGAAACATTGATGCCATTCATTGAATGAGCTACCTTCATGCCAAGACCCAAATCTTTGATTTCAAATTCTTTAGCTAAGAGGGTTTTCAAGTTGCTAATTTCTTTCACATAGTCTCTACTAAGAATAATGTCATCAACATAAACAATAAAAATGACTATTTTTCCTTCAGGTGAATGTTTGACAAACATGGTATGATCAGTTTAGCATTGTGAAAAGCCATACTTTTTTATCACTTTGGTTAGTATATTAAACCATGCATATGGGGGTTGTTTGAAACCATATAAAGATTTTTGAAGTTTACATACCTTGCCAGAATTGTTTTGGTTTTTGAATCTTATAGGGATTTCTATGCAAAACTTCTTCTTTTAGGTTGCCATTAAGAAATGCATTTTTGACATTTAGTTGGTGGAGTGGCCAATCTAAATTTGCTGTCAATGATAATAACACTCAGATTGAATTAAATTTAGTAATCAGAGTAACTAGAGCAAATGTCTCATCATAGTCAACATCATAAGATTGAGTAAATCCTTTTGCAACAAGACGAGCTTTGAATCTGTTAATATTTCCATCTGTATTGTGCTTTATAGAAAAAATCCATTTGCACCCAACTGAATTTTTTTCTTTGGGTAATTCTGAAATCTTTCATGTTTTGTTCTTTTTAAGGGCCTTAATTTCTTCCAAAACAACCATATTCCATTTTGGTTGCATTAGTGTTTCATGAATATTATTAGAAATTTGCATATTGTTTAGTGTGATAACAAAAGCCCGATAACTGGTAATAAACCTTAATAAGAAACCACATTATAGATTGGGTGTTGAGTACATGATCTCACATCTTTTCTTAGAGCAATTGGTTGATCAAGATCATCAAAAGATTCAATTAAATAAAATTCAATAAAAGTGTTATTGTGTTGGTTTCAAGTTTTTCTAGAATTGGTTCAGATTCTTGGTTTGTACATTCTCATTGATCATTCTGAGTTTTATGTCTTCTTGAATAGACAATCAATTATTTGTTTGTTAACCTTTGTGTGGACTTCGGGCTTAGAAGATTTGGTTGGATGTTTTGGACGTGAAAAAGAGTTTGAAAAGTGTTTGGTGGTTTGGTAATAGGATCTTCCTAAAACTAATATTCCCATGTGATTGGATTCTCCCATTGAATGGCAATTTTGGGAAAGTAAGGTTGATTTTTAAAAAAGGTAACATTCATGGAATGGTAGAATTTTTTTGTTACTAGTGAGTAACACTTGTATCATTTTATATTCAGGGAATATTCAAGAAATATGCATTTGATGGATTTGAGATCTAATTTTCTTTGGTTTTGTTGGCTAGTAAGAACAAATACAGTGCATCCAAACATTTTAATAAGAATAGACAAAATGATTCAAAGGTGAAGATAGGAATTGAAAAGGGATTGGCAAGGGCTTTGAAATTTCAAGACTTGATAAGGCATTCTATTTATAAGATATGTAGAGGTAATAATAGTCTTACCCTAAAAATGCTTAGGTACATAGGTAGCCATCATGATGCATCTTGCAACTTCTAACAAATGTTAATTATTTCTTTCAGCAACGTCATTTTGTTAAGGAGTATCAACACATGAGTTTTGATGAATTATATCATGTTTCATTCGATATGATCTGAGGACTGAATTGTAGTATTTATTCCCATTGTTGATTCTTAAACTTGGATTTTGATTTTGAATTAAGTTTGGATCATATTGTTTAAGTTTTGAAATAGCTAACCTACTTTTAATTTTTCCTTCATAAGGAATACCTAAATAACCCTGGTGTGATCATCAATAAATGTGAAAAATCATCTAGAACCAGTAATGTTATTTACTCTGAAGGGACCCCAAATGTCATTGTGTATCATTGAAAAAAGATGGGATGATTTGTAAGGCTGATTAGGATATATGGTATAGGTATGTTTAGATAGTTAGCATAGTTCACATTGAAAGTTGTTAGGATTTTTATTGAATAATAAGGGAAACAACCTTTTAAGGTACAAAAAATTTAGATGAGTTAATCGATAGTGCCACAACATGATAGTACTATCTTTATTATTACTAGAAGATGAAGCCACACAAGAGGTCTTCTGATATTGTTTTTCAAAATCATTAGCTCTTAGGATATAAAGTCTTGCACACATCTTAGCATTGTCAATTATCTTCTCTAAATCCAAATACTAAAATTCACACATATTTGGAAGAAATTTAGTAAAACACTTAAGGTCTCTTGTAAGTTTGCTTATAGACAATATATTGCAACTTAAATTTGCGACAAACAAAATAGAATCAAGTGTTATCTCTTTGAAAATAATAACAGAATCTATATCGGCTACTTTTGAAAGTGACATATTAGTAATTCAAACTGTGAAGTTTTCATAACATGGGTTGTATTTACTGAATACAGATGTATCCTTAGTCATATGGTTTGAAGCTCTTGAATCCACAATCTATGAATTTGATTTCTCTAGTTTTACAAGGCATTTAAAAAATTACCTTTTTGTACTAAAGAACCTATTCCAATAATGCTAGCTTTAGGGTTAGAGGTAACCTCCGACACTGGACTCTCTCTTTTACTGGCCATGTTCGACTTTGAGTGAAAATTTTCAAAGGTTCAAATCGTGCTTTGCTACCATAAAAAAATCTATCGAATAAAACTATTTTGTTCTCTATATTTTTTTTATTACAATACTAAAATTACATGAAAATATATAGGCTAAAGATTGAATATTCTTAGCCTTAAAATTTAAGATTTTCATGCATTAAAACAACTAATCAAAGGAGTAATTTATTCTCTATACATAATAAGAAAATATCTAATGGATTTGTGTAATTACCCAAATTACTCTTTATTTTAAAAATAAGAAACTCAACTAAAATAGATAAAGTTAACCAATCAAGTAATAATGAAGTTTAAAATTTCACAGTAAGAACAGAATTGTTTGATTTGACTATAGCAAATATGTGGGACTTTTTTTGGCTTTTGTTTCATATGCATAATATTTCTACATGATAATTTATCTTGTATCTTCTTAAAACTAAAAGAGTTCTATTTATAATTAAATAGAAGTATCTTTGTACAGATATAATTGTCTATAAAAATGCCTATTTGTATAGACACAATTTTTTATAAGATATAACTTTTAGTAAATAATTATATCATTTAAAAAAATATAACCTTTTATTATCACATACAATTCATATGATTTATTATTTTGAAAAGGCTCTATGGGTGCTCTAGACATATGTGGGATTTGTACCATCTTTAAAAAACTTTTGAATTCTTGTGTCTTCCATCAAGGTTGGTAAAAATATGCAATCGAGGTTGAAATGACAAGAGGTCATGTTCTTCAATTCTTTTTAGTGCATTATCTTTGGTTAACTATTTTGAGCCTAAAAGTAATTCTTTCAAAATCAAAATGACTCTTGTCAGGGATCACTCCATTATTATGCATTACGGAAACAATTCAATATTCAATGGGTTTAGGGTTTAGTTAACTACTTTGAGCCTAAAGTTCCTCAATTGTTACTGACTTTCCAATTAAACTAATTAAGCATGAACCAAAATGAATTTCTGATTTTATAATCAAACTAATTAAGCATGAACCTAAATGAATTTCTGACATTCTAATCAAACTAATTGATTAAGTTGCTCGAGTGTGGATTGATGACACTCCATAACATCAATTGATTCAGGTTCAAGAGATTATAATAAGGTCGGATCAATTCAATTTGAGGAATATTAGGGGAAATGTGAAGTGAGTTCGATCGAACATTCACCTGATTTTGATAAGGTTGGATTGATTTTTGTTTAGATTTTGGGACACAAAATTTGTATCTACAGTAACATCATTTTACTGCAGCTTATTACACAAGAAGGAAAAAGCAAAATTCCAAAGATGCTAGGGAATTTTCTCATTAATATTTATGCAAAACGTGGGATCATAGTTAAAGGCATGGAAGTTTTAATACCATGGCAACCAAATTTAAGGTCAACAGCAGTGAGGAGCCAAAACATGGATCAAACTTGCATATAATAATGTGTTTTCCGCAGTCGGCACAAGTACAATATATTATTTTGAACAGCTTTTATTTGATGAAAGCGAAACACCGAATGCAGGGAATATGAACCACAGTTTGCAGAGGAAAACGTGAACTTCATAGAAATCCTTTGTCCTGGAAACTCTTGATACAGTCATCAAACATTTCAGGAAGTGATTTGAATGCTGGGAAGCCCAACTGTTGTATCTTGCTCGTATCCATGCTATGTGCATTGTTGTCTCCTTCTTGACTGCTACACCTGCAATATCGGTTTAGTTGATTAACTCAAGTGTTAGTTTTTCCTTTTCTGCATTTGGAATTGTATTCCAATGATAGTTGAGGAATGATACAAGATACGGAAACACAAGACCCTAGAATATTGTTTCACTCACTTGTTTTCGAAAGGATAGGAAGGATACTTGGTCCTCAGCATCTCAATGATCTGCGTCCAATGAGCTACTGAGCTAGAGCATACTAGCCTGCCTGATGCTTTGCTTTCTTCCATAGCCATAATGTGAGCTGCAATCACATCATATATGTGCACAAACCCTACCGTGGTGTTTGGGTATTCACCTCTCAAGCCTGGTCAGGAAGGAAGATGAGAATGTAATTTTTACCAAATGAAAACAAGTCATGTTACTTACAAAGCAAATGGCAGCCCCCAAGAGAAGCTTAACGCCTGGTATGAGCATCAATATATATTTTAGTTGTGATATAGTAATGTGACTGCATCTATACCGCCTGATAAGATTTTATAGTTCCTTTTTCTTCTTTCCTTTTCCAGGGCTCTACTCCACCAACCAGAAGTTATCTAAGGGCATTGTAGTAATATTCTTGAAACTCTATATATAAAAATAAGTCTGTCTCTATCAAAGATTTTCATTCTCTCTCGTTTTTTTTTCTTTTTTTTTAAGCAAAATGACATAATTTAAGAATAAAAGAAGAAGTTGTAGGAAGAAAAAGTTGCTGGTGTTGAAATTTAAACACAAGATTTGTTGGATACCAACATTTAAGTGCAACTACTTGAATCAATTAAGTTAAGTTTTGGATTCTTTATCTTTACTTTTTCATTACTTATTTCTTCTATCTTTCTACAAAATACTGATTTTATTGTTAGAGTGCGTCTCGGAGTAACTACTTCGACGTCTTCTAATTATTTTTGTCTTGAAAATTTTTTCCATTAAATGTCTCCTTCAACAACTATAGAGATTGAAAACATTATTTATTATAAAAAAGTTGTAAATTCAAAATTTCTTATAATCTCATTCTCATCAGCAAAAGAAATCTGACCTTTGACTATAGAGAGTATCAATAGCAGAGTACTAGTTGGCTGTGGCGCAAGCAAAGGACCAACCACGAAAGATGGGTTCACTACCACCAGATCGATCCCACTTTCTTTTGCTACACTCCACGCTTCTTTTTCAGCGACAGTCTTTGCATATGCGTAAAGGAGCTGCATGGAAGCAACATTCCAGAAGAGAATTTATGAAACAAAAAGAGAAAAAAAAAAGTTACAGTTAAATCTTGCACGTCAATACATTGTGGCGTTTGCAATACTCTAGATCACTCCAATGTGACTCATTAAGGGATGAAATTTGCTGCTCCTGGACATCAAAACGGTACCGTATTGAAGAGCAGGAGGAGGTGAGCACAACCCTTTTCACACTGCTGGCTTTGGAACAGGATGTCAGCACATTCAAGGTGCCCTTTATGCATGGATCAATCAAAGTTGCCTACAAAAATTTCAAGGTATCAAAATTTGGCATGTAATTAGATATATGTATTACTTAATTATTCTATGACAATTTTTTGGGTACTTATTTGTTTTAATAGTTTTAAAACAAAATTTGTCATTTTGAGTTTTTGTATAAAATGTATCCATGCTTTTACAGTTTTCCATAATTTTTTATAACAAAATTATGATTAAAAGTTTTATTCATTTCAAATCAAATTTATGATATCTTTTATCTTTTTGATTTTGCAATGAGATTTATTTATATACATTAATTAAAAAATATTTTTGTATTAAGTTTGCATTTCTTATACTTTAAAGTAAGTTATCATACATTTGGAAAAAAACTTAGTTTTAGTAGTTTATATATTATTCTTGTTATTTCATTTTCTTTTTCTATCCTTCATTTTTGAATTGCCTTAATTTTTATTTTCAAACACCTAATGGTACACTTAAGTTTTTTATATTATCAAAATCACTTTTTATTTATTTTATTTTATTTTTTTATGTTTTATGTTTAGTTGTTTTGTTTTAAAAAATAATGAAGCATTAATTCTATTAAAAATTTAAAGCTTTAAGATAAAATATATCAAAACCCAATTTTTTTTTAAGCTTCATAAAAGTTTTTATAGCAAAAAAAAAAAAAAGAAAAAAAAAACTCTGTGAAAATCAAAATAAGGATGAACTCTATGTATGAGATAGATGGCATACATACATTTAAACAATTTTAGGAAAAGAAAAAAAAAAAAACATTAAGAATTTATATGAAAGTTTTATATTTTAATATTTGAAAAACTAAATGCATAATGTGGAAAGGAGTTTGGTGAAAGCACACAGTTGTAATAGAAATTTAAAAAGTGATCCAGAAATGAGTAAATAAATTAAAAATATTAAAAATTATATAAAGAATTTGAGAGAAGGAAATGATGAAAAATTGATTAATTATTATTTTCTAAAAATGAAAATACAATAATTTTGTAAATGAAAATAGAAAATAAAAATAGAAAATATTTTCCCAAACCAAATAGAAAATATTTATTTGTTTTTATTTTTTATTTTCATTTTAGAAAACTTTTTTATCCATTTTAGTCAAATAATAATTTTATTCTTTATTGCTTTTATTATTCTTTACTTTTTAAAGAAATTTTATAAATTATATGCAAAAACTAAAAATTAAATAAGTATAATATGAAATATAAAAAAATGTATTATGCAGCTCAACAATTATTAAGTTTGACTCAATTTATTGTCCAAAAACAATTCAAATTGGGTTTGGAAGGATCTAGATCGAGTCGGATTCATGGCCAGTCCACCTCTTCATTTTCTTTTACTTTTATTTTCAAAGACAGCATAGTTTTGTTCATGAATTAAAATCTAATCCTAAGTTTTAAATTTAAATTTAATTATGTACGAGTTTAGTTTAGTTTTATATTAAATTTATTTAATTAAATTCTCATTTGTTGATTGTTAGTTTGTTTAATCATGATAAAATACTTGATTATGACTTGTATTAGTAATTTCAAAAACTAATTTTTTTCATTTTTCATCTTTGCTTTGGTGAGAAACTTTTTTTTTGTTTTAATTTTTTTTACTGTTTTAGTTGACTTTGGTGAATGTATGTAGTTTTTTTGTTTTGTGAAAATTTGTATTAGTATTATTATTAATTATTTATAAAAAAATTTATTTTTAAATAAAAAATTAAAAAATTAATACTTTAGTCTTGGTTTTTTTTATGTCTTTAACTTTATCTTTATTTTTAATTTTTACTTTATATTTATATTGGCAAATTTCATCGTAATTCCTTTTTTATAATATCTTATGGATAAGAATTATGTTTCTTAATAGAATTATAATTTAATATAATTAAATTCAACATGATAATGATATTCAAATACGTTTTTAAGACCAATTGAATCTTTAATCATTTTATAATTAATTAAATCTCAAAATTTTGTAAATAGAAACAAAATATCTTGGATAAAGGAAAAATGAAAAAAATAAATAAAAGCAAAATACGAAATGAAGAAATAAACAACAAAAGGGTATCTTTTTGTTTAGAGTTAACTTGGATATTAATATCATTTTTCATAAGGTAAGTATATTTTCAACCATAATTCAAGGTAAAAAGGTTTTTGTATAAATATATAAAGTAGAAAAAAGTGTCTTCCGTTTTTCATCTAACGATAAAGCAGCTTTAAGAAAATCATTAGAGATTGAGTTTGAACCAAATCATCACTTCTCCTTTTCATGTAATAATGCATTGCCCACCTTTGAAATTAAAATAATAATAATAATAATAATAATAATAATAAAAAAGAAAGATTGCCTGAACGTTGTCGTCATAGGGAACCAGAACCGGAGATGCAGTGTGGAAAACACCATCAACGCCTTGGATTGCCTCATCAAAGCTTCCTTCCTCCATCAAATCAGCTTTCATAATCTTCAGCCTCTCCTTGGCTCCAGCCAACTCCCTAAGAAAACCAACCTTTCCCACATCCCCTGCTCATAAATTAGGATTTTTTTTTTCTTTTTTTAATTGAAAAAAGAAGTAAAAAAAAAAAAAAAAAAAACAGAGTATAAAAGCTAATTAGAAACCTGGATCTCGCACTGTGGTGCGCACAAAGCAACCTTTCTCCAGCAAGGACTTGACCAAATAAGCAGCAATGAACCCTGTTCCTCCAGTTACACAGTATTCCGGCATATCTCTCCTCCTCTGTTTTTTCTCTTTTCCTGCTTTAAATTCTAATTTTTACAGTGACTAATATATATATTTGTGAATATGGAAGCATCTAGATTAAATTAATTTTTTTTTTATAAAAAAAAAAAAGGCGAATAGAAAGAATTGTCATGTGTTACGCGTCTCAACTTGTTTATAATTGTTCTTTCTGGTGGGGGAAGCACCTAGGCAGATGGTTCATTCAATCCATCAGATGGTTCATTAATTTAAGTAAATAAATTAAAAATAACAATAAAATATTCAAATTTTTTAAAATTTAAAAATAGCGTAACAAAGCCAATTGAATTGAATTTAATTTGACTTGCTACGATTTTGCTTTTAATAAACTATAATATTACACATTAATCAAAATTTTATTAAAAAAGTCAAATTGAATCCGACTGATATCTTAAGAATCATTTCAATATTTTGCTTTTACTAATTTATGTACTTATTTTTTCCAAAAATATTTAATTTCAATTCCATTTCCAAGCTTTTAATTTCAATTCCACTTCCAAACTTTTAATTTGGCATCTCACGTTCTTAATTAAAGGATACCCTTGCCCTTTAGGTCTTAGATTATTTTATTTGCTTTTACCTAAACAAAAGTTAAGTATTATTTGATGAATATTTGACGATGATCAATTTGTTAAAACTTTTAATTTTAGTGATAAAATATGTTTCTTTTATTTCTTACTCCCTTATTGTTAATGATAGTATCACCAATGAGTTTTATCCAGAAAAAGGATTTTATAAGGAGATCTCCTTTTGTCCTATTTGTTTTTTATTTTCATAAAGGGTTTTCAATGATGCTAAGAAAAAATCAAAGCCATGGGTCGTTGTATGAGTGTAGGCGAGCCGAAATGGCCATTGAGTTAATCACCTTTTCTTTGTAGATGATAGTTTTCTTTTTGCTATAGTTAATAAAAGCAAAAACGAAAAGGTAATGCATATGGTAAAGTAATATGAAGAAAGCTTGGGCCAAAAGATAAATCTTGACAAATCGACTTTGTTCTTTAGCAACAACATAGAAGAATGACAAAATGAAGAAATAAAAAATATGTTTAGTGTCCAAGAAACCAAAAATTTGAAAAAGTATATGGGACTATCTACAATGGTGAAAAAAGATAGGAAAAAGGCATTAAGAGATTTGAAGGATTGACTGAGTGCTAGAATGAAATGGAGATGCCAAGGAATGTTATCGCTAAATGGGAAAGAAGTATTCATCAAGTCCATTCTCCAATCTATTACCGCTTATGCCATGAGTTGTTTTCTTCTACCAAAGTTGTTATGTGAATAAATGAATAATTTGCTAAGAAAATACTAAAGGAGGCATGAAAAGGAGAAAAAAAAATTAATTGACAAAGCTAGAAGAAATTGTGTTATGCCAAAAAAGATTGAGGCATGGGTTTTCAAGAGATGGAAAACTTTAACAAAGCTATGCTAGCTAAATAAGGGTGAAGGATTCTCACTAATCCTAGCATGCTAGCACACAAAGTCTTAAAAGCCAAATATTTCCTACATGGTTTTTTCCTTGAATCTGACTTAGGAACATATCATTCTTTAATGTGGAAGAGCATTCTTTTCACCTCGACTATAGGGTAGAGGAGATATGTGTTGGTAGTGGTTGATTATATCAATAAGTGGCTTAAAGCCAAAGCCCTAGCTACCACAACTGAATCTCAAGTTGAAAAGTTTGTTTGGAAGAACATAGTTTGTAGATTTGGTCTACCTCAGGCCATAGTAATAGACAATGTGAAATAGTTTGACAATTTGAGGTTTAAAAAATGGTTTTTTAATCTTAGTATTGATTTACGATTCACCTCAATTGCACATCTTTATCTAATGACCAAGCCGAGGTGGCTAACAAGACCATACTTGAAAACCTTAAGAAAAGATTTGATAAAGCTTAGGGCAAGTGGACCAACAAACTTCCCAGTGTATTAAGGGCTTCAAAACAACCATAAAAGTTTCTACAGGAGAAACCCCCTTCAACTTGGCTTTGGGAATAGAGGCCATGGTGTTTATGGAGATTGGCCTTCCTAGTTTTCAAGTTAAGCTTGGAACCAAAGAGGGGAATGAGGTGGCCAAAGCTAATTTGCATTTGACAGAAAAACATAGAGACATAGCTCTAACCAAAATAGTAGCTTATCAGTAAAAATTGTCCAATTTCTACAACAAAAGGGTTTAACAAAAAAAAAAAAAACATAAAGAAGGGCAACTTGGTGCTTAGGAAGGTGGAAGCCTTAGGAATCAATGATCGAAGTAGAGAGTTAGCCATGAATTAGGAGGGCCCCTATGTAATTAAAGAAATTGTACATGACATGACGTACATGCTACAAGATATGAATGGAAATTCTATTCCAAGGACATGGAATGCGAATAACCTTAAGGTCTACTACCAATGAGGGCTACGAGGTTAAGCATACACTTGTAATTATTTGTACTACTCCATTTTTAAGCTAAATAAAGTTATGAGCTTTGTCTAGAATCCATGTTTGGTTAACATCATTTATGAAATCTGAAGCTCATTAATAACTAACCTCATACTTGTTAAATTTTTGCATCATGAATGACTAAGTAAATGGAATAGCCAATGTCCGACGCCTTTTACTCAACTTGGTTTAAAAAAGCCATCTGACCTGACACTTGTTAAGAAGTTATTACATAGATCTGACAATATTGCAAAGCTGATTTTGAAAAGTAGGTTCATAACTCAATAAATTATCTTGGTCATAATATTGAACTGAACTAACACTTGATTCACTTATCAATTTAGACTTCAAGTTAATTTAATGCTTATTTTATTAATTTCATCTCATTTATGAAGCATCAAGCTAAGAATTGAGCTGTGAACCTTAAAGAAAGAAAAAATAGGTAAAGCTAAGACTTGAGCAAAATATGTACTTTCATTCCATTATTATTTCAAATGATAGAATTTAAGTTGAAAGTTTCCTTTACAACTTTTAAACAAAAATTACAAAAGATCAATTAAAGAGTTAAACAAAAATTTATCAAAAAGTGAAAAAGAAATAGAAGAGTTATCCTAAACTTCCACCCCTTCTTCAATTTCTTCTCTATGCTCCTTAGTTGGCATTTATGGCTCATCAACTCCAACCTTAGCTTCAGCCTCAGCCTCAAAGGTAGCATTGACCTCAACTTCAATCTTAGCATCCTTCTTATCCTCAGTAGCTTCAATAGGAATAGGGGTTGGTTGGGACTTACTGTCGTGAAGGCTAATATCAGATAGGTCAAGGTCTAGGTTAACAAAGCAAAATTATACCTCTTGTAATGCCATGTTGAAAGTATCTAAAACCTACTTTCAAGCAAACTCTATTTTACATATTATAAAACTCCTCGAATGCTTGAAAATCATCCATTGCCAATTCCTTGACTTTTTTATCAACTCAAACTTTGACTTTAGCCTTGCCACCTAAGCCAAAGCCTCGTTGAGCTTAAAGTCAGTCTATTGTTGAAAAGACTCGATCATAGCCTTTTGGACTGACATGTTTTCAAGTTTAAAAGCCAAGTCTTCCACATTTATGCCAAGCTCTTTCTTGTTTTTCTTTCCCTCGAATAAAGAGGCCTTCATTTTTTTTATCGGTCTTTGTTATTGTATAAAAATCCTAAGCATAATCCTTCAGGTCCTACTTGATCTTGTAATAGTGCATAAGAACTCAATAGGTGTTCAATAGACCATGCCTGTAGTTTGAGAGACAAAGGTCAAAAGCTGTTTAAAGATTGCATAAAACAAAAACTGATATTAGACTTTGGAAAAATAAGAAAAGTAAAAAAAAAAAAAGAATAGATTAAGCTTAAAGATATGTTGGCTTTTTTTTTTAGAAAAGATCACTTGTGTGATCTTCTTGACCATCTCGGGGTCTTTGAATGCATTTTTTGTGGAGTCGAACTCCATGTTTATTTTCACCTATTTGAGATAGGTTATAATCTAGTGCTTAGCTTGGCAAGAGAAGCCTTAGTCCTTTACCTCTTTTGAGCCCTTTCCCTTCAGGTTATCTACTTCTGCCTCTTCTAAGGTGTGGTTGAGCTAGGTAGAGGTTGAAAAGAAGGAAGGTTAATTATTTTCACTCTCTTCGAGGAAAAAATGAGTTGAATGAGAGCCTTACCTCTTTTTTTAGTTTAAGAGGATGAACAAAATGTGTAAATTCAAACTCCCTTATATGGGGAAACATGTTTGCATTAAAGAATGAGCTAAGTGTTAGAAAAAAATTAATCAAACAAACATTGCATGAAGTTACCTAAAACTTACCTAAGTATTTAACCTCTTTGACAATAGAAGTAGAGGTAATCTCATAGGTATTTATAACTATCTCTCTCTTTTGAGGAAGTTTATTACTTTGTCTTGAGCTTCGAGCTTTTTGATGGTGAGAGGATTGACCTAGATGTCTTTAAACATGCCTGATCTATTATTCACCTCTCATACTCTATTATTATCTTTTTGAATGAAAAGGAAGAGTAACTTCTAACTTTTTATCAAAAAATCTACAAAAATTTTTATCACAGGTCAAGCTGTGACATAATACTAGTTTTTATCATGTGGATACTTTTTAACTACAAAGAATTCTTTAAACAAAAAGATTATGGGAACTAAGCTCAACTTTTTACAAAGAATGATAAATCCTACTATGTACTAAAAAAAATTTGAGATAAATTGAGTGATAGTTAAATCATAAGAAAGAAAAAGATTAACAATGAAAAAATGTAAAGAAAACTTCAAACCTATCAATATAAACTCTTAGTGCACCTAAATCTTGTCGATGTCTAAAAAAATAGTAACTCAAATCAATGGTTGATGTTATTATACTATATCCATTCTTAGAAAGTCAAACTTGACTTTTAAAGCACGAGAGTAATGCACATAACACATGTTAAAGTAGTCTTCTAGATTGGCCTTGCCTTTTAAACTCTGCATCATATCCTTCAGGATTATGCCTAAGTCATAAAGGGTATGGAAGGGAATAAGGTCATCTGCATCATTACCTAAGGTAATTTTTCCTTGCCTTCACTTTTTTCTTCTTCTTTGGCTTGGTTAGACCATTCT